AAGATGCCATTTCTTTCTTCACCAAGTTTATTGAACAGTATTGCCGATAAAACCAAACTGACTCCCCAAAGAAACTAGTATTTGAATAGCAACGTGATTCATAAGGAAAGCATTGAGAAACTCATCAACTTATGGGGCTGCATTGTAACTATTGGAGACTTATTCAACTTCAAATACAATGCTCGTCCGGACTTAATAGCAGTGGCACTCTAAAATATGAGAATTATAAGCACGAAAACATATTGATCTACATGAAATCGTTTACAGGCACAGTCAGATCATTTTTTTTAATTTTCTCCACAGTGATTTTAGTCTTGAATGCTGCAGAGCTTTAATTTGTATCCTCTGATTTGAGGCTGCATTGAATGGATTGGCCTCGCATACGGCCAATCCATTGTAAAAAAAAAAAGCCATATTTCACCCTCAGAGTACTTTGATAGAGGAGATGTTCTAGAATTCCACTCGCGGCTCAGTTGGGATGGGAAAAAACTGATGGCCATGCATGTTAAAAGCCTATGTGCCATCAAAAGCCCCATGGGCAACAAAGGGCTCTTTTAGCAAATGGATGGCAACAGCTGCAAACTGTGGACTGTTCTTAATGTGCACGGTGCAGATGTCTGCACTCGAGTCCCACAGTCTGAGACATCCGTCTGGCTCTACACTGGGCCGCTCTCATCATATCACTGTAGCTTCATTAAGCACTGAACTCAACACCAACATCTGCCTGACAGTTTTTGCTCTCCAATTAAAAGGGAAAAAAAAAGCACACTCAAAAGGTACAGTAATAACCACTACAGACATGTGTTATATACTGTGTGTGCATCACTTTATCTATCTTGTGTTTGCCTCACAGGAAATGATTATCAATAGTGTGACCCTTTTCTCACTGACGGAAGCTGTTTTGGCAACATGTTGTTATGGTGGTTAAAACCTTCCACACCTGTAAAACAGAAGACATTTCCTCACCATGTCTGATTGTGTTGCCTTCATTTCTATCATGAGCCAACAATGGAGGGGAGCGTAAGAGATATTCATCCTGCGTTAGCACTGCAGCCGCCTATGTACCCTGTCGATTCTCAAAACTGGAACGGCAATGGAGAGCTTAAATACTGGATGCTGCAACGTGGCTCAGTCGGAAAAAATGTGACTCTGTCTAATGGCTGGATGGGAGAAAAGCAACATCTGGATTTAGATATTATCTGCCTTACTCTAAACTTGTCAAATGAATGTGGTGGATGGGTCAAACAAACAGGACTTTCGTCCAGGTTTGTGTCCCGTGCAAACTAAAAGACAAGTGACTCACGTAAGTCATGCGACACGTTTGGAACTCGCAAATCGTCGTCTCTAGTGTCGTTTGGCACGTTTGGCACTTGCTGATCACGTGAGTCGTTAGTGTCATTAGTCACGTGACTTGTTTGACACTCCTCGCTAGTCATGTGACTGGCTAGGCACTCGCTGATCACTTGAGTCGCTAATGTCGTGCATTATGTGACTTGCAGAAGTCGCTTGTCACATAACTGTTTTGGCAAATGCTACTCACTTGAGTTGCTAGTATCGTTTGTCAAGTTGGCTAGTCAGTCATGTTAACTACAACTACGCTCTTTTGTTTTGTTGCCTAAACCCTTACTTCCTCTGAAGACGGAAGTCTATTTTGAAAAGACACTGCATGTAACAAGTAAAAACTGACATGCCGTCCCTTAAAACATCTAAAACTCTAGAGGGGTACCTAGAGCGTCACAGTTTGAAGCTTAGGGCCAAGAGTGAAACTTAGGACTAAGCGTCGGTATTTGACGAGTTGGGAGCGAGAACATGTTGTCACAGGAAGCTATGAGGCTGAAAAATAAAACCGAGTAAGCACCTGCATGAGGCGACGGGTAAACATTACCGATCAAAGATATTGGGAAAGAGCTGCGACTAACAAGACAAGAAATACGTTGCAGACGTGAACCAAATATTCAATCAGGTAACACCCATCTATCCAATCAGTGAACTGGGACAGCACATCGTTGACTATTGAACTCATTTAATGCTTAAAACAAATACAAGTTACTTCACTGGGTCATCACAATTGAACAGGAGATTTTTTTTTTTTTTTTTCATATTTGTAACACCCTCAGAAATATACATTCACATGGCTGCATACAGATAATTTCTCTCTTTTAGATTTTCTCTCAATAACATTAAACCGACAAACTGTGTGCGTCACCCCTTTTGTATGACAGCAAAGCCGCTAGTGGCATATCAAAAACGTACCGGAGGAGCATTTCTAGGTGGGACTTTGGAAATAAGCTATCGGCTTCATCTATCCATCATCGAGTCTCTAGGCTTGCAGTCAAAATAGGTGTATTTTACATGAACAGGGTCCCTACGCAGTTGTCCCTAAATAAATCCCAACTATTATCTCAACCGTATGTACAGTATTTACAGTGGAATGTTGAACATACTGAATACAAAAAGTAGATTAGGATGGAATGGAGTTACAGTCAGTATTACAAAATAGGAACTCATAACACCCCGACAACATGAAGACAACGTTCACATCTACCAGTATACAGAATGTCGACCCCGGTCTGAAAGGTTTCTCTTCCTCCAACATGTCTTAGAAGCAAGTGTGGCAGTGGTTTCATAATGGATGCAGGAAAAGCGTACGATGAAACCTTAAACTTGTGCTTTGAAAAGGGGGTCAAGTTGATCTGTCCTTTGGGCCACTTTTTTATTATATTCAAATCTCTTTTCACTCCGTTAGTGTTTCAATTGTTGTGCTTAGAAAGGTCAGCGATGTGCGACTAAGTGGCGAAAGTTTGATCTCTTTAAGACTTAAACTATCCAGTATTGACTGGCGGGGGTGGGGAAGTGCTGTGTCACCATTAAGTCATCATTAAACTTTAAAATGTTAATGAATGCAGCTTTTAAGAGATCAATTGATTTAAAGATCAAGTACAGACACCTTGTTAGCATTGTGCTGGAGCCCCACTTTACCATCTACAACTCGCTGCAAGTAAAGAACCTTCATTTGTCTGATTTTGCAGTCCATGTCATATGTCAATATTACTCGATGACGTCATTCTACGGCACGAATGCCTTAAGCAGCAGCAACTGTTACGATTTCTAACTTCGATAGGCACTGAATGCAAGAAGAAAAAATAAAAACGCTCGTCTCTATTATGCTGCCACATGCAAACTATGTGGAATCCAACAAGTTACAGCTGATCGGTTCACCTATAGGTAAATAATAAACTAAAAGGCAATCAAGTTGTGATTTGCACGAAGCAACCCTGCGACTGTGGTTGAGTTTTCCCACTCTGTTTTCTGTTGCTAACCTCATGGATGTTATCAAACTGTCGTGGATACACTGAACCAAAAAAACCCCAAATAAGGCAGTAGGAAATGAAACGAACCTAAACTGAAACCAACACTTTTTTTTTTTTTTTTAAATCAGAACTTGATATTTCCCATTATTGCGAAGTCCATTTGTGTTGAAAGTACAATTTAAATTGAGGCTCGTGATTAACATGCTCATCTAAAAAGATACAGTAGACAAGCATGGATTGTAAAACATTCACATCTCTAGCCGACGGCGAGATCTGATCTCAGAGATGTTATTTATCTATTTTTTATATATATATATATATATATATATATATATATATATATATATATATACATATATATATATATACACTTTTTCGATGTCTTAACTGCAATATTGTTCCTGGGTATTGCATGCCCATAAAACCATTCCTCTGTCAATAATGACAACACTGACAAAGTGTCGTCTTTAGAGCTGCAAATGAGGACAAACAAACTGGAATCGATACAGAAAGAATAGCGACGTACGCACCTCCACAGCGACACGAGAAAACAAAACATGCATAAAATAAGGCTTGATATAGTATTTATATCGTTTGTATCCACGGAATTAGTCCTTTGCTTTCTGTTTTATCTGATATTTCACATTTAACTTCTTTTTGTTGTTGTTGCTCGAAGCAAATGCTTTTCGCTGATCATTGTGTAATGGACCTTTCTGCCGTCCGACAGCCCGAGATTCAGATGAAAACTGAAGTTAATTTTAAAAGAAAAAAAAAAAAATAATAGATGGAAAAACTAATGAAAGCAGCAGGTGACTTATTATACTCCAGCATGGCCACCTTCATGTTCTTAATTCCCTTTACATGTTAAAATGTTTTTTTTTCATAGATGCAAATAAAAGCATCCGTTTCCCTCCCATCCGTGTCCTTTGTGTTTCCATGGACGACTCCTCGTAGAAATGCTGTTGGTGTAAGCGTGTGGGGGGGGGGGGGGCTTGAACCAATTCTTCAGTACAGTCACACAATTATAAAGGAGAGACAGAGTCATTATTGGGAAACTACAGAGACACTTTTCTCCGACATCCATTTGATAAAAGCAGGGTCAGAACCAAACATAATTATCAACTCAACTCAACACACACACACACACACACACACACACACACACACACACACACACACAAAGAACAGACATTTCATTATAGTGGTAAGATGGAGAGTTTGTGTACAAAGGTCAACCTGTTCAAGTCAAATAATAATCATGACATTTCAGAGTATTATTGAAGGTTTTCTGCGGAGACGGAGACTCACCAAAACCCTCTTTCGGACGCGACTGTGATGCACTACTGAAAAAAAGTAGAAACTGTTGCAGCCCTTCTCTCCCCCCGTTATTCTGATTCAATGATGTGGAAACTAATTCAACGTGATTGAAATTTGGGGACAATATTTAAAACACTCAGTAGACCGACTTGCTCTCGGTAAACAAACAAAACAAGCCTACTAGGGTGTGTGTGTGTGTGTGTGTGTGTGTGTGTGTGTGGGGGGGGTTAAGAAGGACTAAGCGTGTCTTTGGAAAACAGCAATAACACATCTGCTTTTGATGCTGTGAATATACAAAAATTTGTCATTTCATGGACGCTAACCCCAGTGCGAAACGGGGGAAATGGTACAGGTGATGTGTGGTGGTTTTTCTTTTTTTTTTTTTTTTTTTCTCCGATACATCTGACCACAAAATTACAAACACTTACCACCTGTAATCATGTCAAACATTTAACTCTCAATTCTCTGGTCACTTAAAAATCATACAAAAAGACATTATAAAAAAATAACAAAAATGGCAATGGTCATTAAAAAAAAGAAAAACAGATCGCATATCCAGTGTAGGACTTTCACAAGTGTGCTCGGCAAAAACCTCAACCTGCATTCTCTTTTTACACATTTAATACATTTATAACATGAGGAAATACACAAAAAAATAATATTACACCAGTACTGATGGACCTCAGTCACTTCCCTGGACCCGCGTGTCTGTTACGACGAGTCCACGTACATACCTTAGTTCGTACTCTTTGCCCATTCTCCCGATGGAACTGATACCAATGCTGTCATGTTAAGAAGTTGACGTCGCTAGCACTTTAAATAGACGCTTGATTTTTCTAATTGAGATTAGTTGGATGATGTGGTGGTGGGGGGTGGGGTGGAGGAGTCAGGAAGGGAAGGGGGTACTAGGTAGAGCAAAAGAGGAACGGGACTGTGAAGGGTGCAGTTTGATGAATGGGAGGGCGGGGAGTCATGACGGGGGTGAACGGTGCAGTGGAATGCAGATATGGGGGGGGGGGGGGGGGTCGAAGGGTTTGGTTTGGTTGCTGCATGCCACTACACGTACCACTCTTTCTTAGAAATGACAGAGCCGTCGGTTTGAGAGATCATATCGTCGGCTATCTCAGGTTCAGGGTCATACTGGAAAGCCAGAGTCCGCTCGTCATAATCTCGGCTCTCGCCCTCGTCCACAGTGAAATAGGGCCTCTTCAGGTCCTCTTGCTCTCCGTCAAAATCACGCTCGCTCGCCTCGAACCCCCCGGGGCCGCTGATCTGGGCGGGCTTCTTCTCGTCGTCCGAGTCGTCCGGGTATTGGAGGTTCTTGGGGATGGGCGGGTGAGCGGGCAGGCCGCCGGCTTTGCTGTACCCGTTACCGAAGACGTGTTTCTTGGTGCTGTAGTCCCCCTTGAAGGTGCGCTGGCGGCGGCGCAGGAATACGAAGAGCAGTATGGCTGCCACACCCAACAGGGCCACTCCCCCCACAGCGCCCCCGATGGCGGCACCTGTATTGTGCACCTCCTGATGAATCTCTTCGCCATCAGAGCGCGAGTTGTTAGGGAATTCTGGGTAGGAAAAGACAGATGGAAGGGAGTGTGTCAGTGCTCTGGTGGGAGGAGGTGCATTTGTGCAGGTGCAGATTTTTTTTTTTTTTTTTTAGGAGAGATGAAGTAAGGGAGACAAGGACGGAAAAGCAAAGGGAAAAGGAAGGACCCCCGGCCCCCACCCCCAACCCCAGAGGAGCCCTCACCGAACGTGGCAAGGCTCGGCTCATTAACAGTCGCATGCAGTTTCAGACATGGAACAACACAACACCATCAGAGAGTAAAACGGCTGGAGAGATTGAAAGTGAAGGATGTTTGTCAGTGTGCATTAGCCATCATTTCTTCTTTGTTTGGAAGGCAGAAGAAAATAAGACAGTTTAATCAACAGAGCTGTGAAAGAATTCATTCATGATTGTGGCCTTTCAGTTAACTCTTTCAACTCCTTGGGGGTCTTCACACAAGATCAAAGTAAGCACATTGGATGACACACTCCAGCATTAAAATAGTGCAACATGACATGTAGCCGACTTCATCATCGGTGTAGCGGTAATGAAATGAAAGAGCACTGCCAGAGATGATTAAACAGCAGCCGAGCATTAACATCATCATGCATCAAGGGATCTGATAAGCACGAAGCTCCTCCATTCAGGCAGCAGAGCACACAGCAGAGAAGAAAAAATGTAATAAAAAGGCGTACCGCTCAGTAAAGAGAAACGTCTCAGATGAGTCAAAGGTGTGCTCTAATCTAGAGTGACAATGACTAACGGCCCGCTAGAGACAAACAATAACTAAGAGGAGAGAGGCTGGGTTTTTGGCCTTGTTTTAAATTCAAAACTGCCACGATGTGGAGCTCAGCTGAAACATCCCATCCATTACACCATTTTTTTAGAGAGCACGCAGCCTCCTCACGGGGAGGCGACGACGCTTGTGACGAGCACAGTTGTTGCTTATGGTAAATTCAGAGTGTTGGAAAACCGTGTCTCTTACACATGCCTCGCTTAAAAAAAAAATGCAAAAACGTGCAAAGCTCCTTGAAGCGCAGAGATGGAAACAGACGTCTACTGTGAAACGTGATCAAAGGCTCGAGGTGCGCAGGTAGCGCTTGTCTAAACCTGCAGAGCAGAGGCACGTTAACTTCAATGGCGCAACGCTGAATCCCCAACAGAGAGGTGGTGGTGGTGGTGGTGGGGAGGGGAGGGGGGGTACAACAAGGAGTTAAACCATCTATCTCCTAAACAAATGGTGTGGGAGAGAGGACTGAAAGTAGGAGAGCGAAGCGGTGAGGAAGAAAAGAATGAAGCGTCCACGTTCACGCCGGACAAACCACACACTCGACGAGGCGAGGCGTGCGCACGAGGCACAGAAAAAGATTTACTGCTTTTGATACTGTTTCTGCCTGCTGCTGTACTGAGTTATGACCATGCTGTTATGACACGTCACAATCTAGCGAGCCTAGATCTTAACGCTGCCCATCAGCTGTCTTCTCAGAGGGAACATCTTTCAGGATCTGAGCGAATCGGTTAGATTTATTGAACTTTAACACCTTAAATGCAACACATTTTACACCGTTTATGGGATACTATTATATTCCATGTACACGATTTGGATTTGGGAGATTGTCTGAGAGTGGAGACTAATCAGAATCGAGCCAAAATGAAGGTTTATCTGAAGCAATCTGAAATGTTTCGAGGAGATATTAAATTCTCTTTGCAAAATATCCCACATGAGCAGAAAATTATTTTTGTAAATGATTGCCCTCCACAGTTGAATCAAAACCATTACATTCGATTAGAACAGTTTTTTTTATTATTTCAGTGGAAACGATAACTCTCCGCATAACTTGCAGAAAGAGGAAGGCATTGGGCTCGGCAGAGGAGACGCCGAAGCCTTCCCCTCTCCTTTAATTACAATGGCACTCTCTCAGTCCAAAGCAGAGACCTCCCAAACACAGTCTGCTCTTCCTCCTCGCCCGCTCTCCCAGGACCCAGGCAGCAAAGCTCTCCAATTTCTAAAGCGGTGCCGGGCAGTCTCAAATATCAGCTCAGGTTTTAATCTGAACACCTAATGGGATTATTCAGACACAGGCCTTCATTACACACATGAATGAGAGAGCACAGCCAGGTCACCCCCGGCCTCGAGCAAACACATCCTCCCAACGAAGAAAATCCAGAGGATTGAGGGAAGTGGAGAGAGAAAAAGGGAAAAACGTCCTGCTGTAATCCTCTCCTCTACCATTAACTGTCTTCCTCTGCTCGGATGCGTCTTCCCTCACATCGGTCCCTTTATTCAATCTTAATTAGGCGGCCCTTTGCCTTGCATTTTCTGAGGTTGCCAAGACTCGATATTTACCACTTAGAGAGGTGAGAAACACAAGGCCAGAGCATTAAAACTACAGAACGAGTGGCGGTAAAAGAACATGCGGCGAGCCTTCAAAGGCACTCTCCATCACCTCCATTTTTCTATAAGGGATCAGGTGACACCACCTCTTGACACCCATATTTGAAGAATGTGAGTGTTAACGATTTAAGACTGTTCGTATAAACTGCAAACATGAAAGTAGTTGTAAACATTCAGGTATTTTTGTGGCTCTTTGGCCGGCACGTCCACCTCAGGAGGAAGCTGACGTACACCGAAAAGGAAGAATTTTATGAAGGTGTTTTAAGATGTTTAACTGGAGGGATGGAAGGGAGGAGCATTGACGTGTTCAGGGTGGCTATACCTCCGCGCTACTTTAAAAGCAGAATAGGAGCTCAAAGACGCCCATCGGATCACTCCAGAGGAACACACTGCTTTTATTTTGAAACCCAAAGAGGCGTGCATTTGCGAAGAGGAGTGTTCTACTCTCGTGACGTTACCCGGCGCATTTCTACTCCCGCGCTCACCCCTCCACAAGGTCACAACAACGCACCACCCTCCCATTCAGCTCACTGGCCTTCATGCGCACACGCACACACACACACACACACACAGATAACAAGAACGGCAAGAGATCTCTCCAGTGTGGCGGCTTTTGTCTCCTCCGTGTACTCCGAGTATGTGAAATTAGAGTGGCCATGGTGCAAACTAATCACATTAACAGAAACACTAATAATAAGACACATTTTTTGAGATGGCCGGGTTGCGCAGGGGCGTTTGACAGCACGGGGGAGGGGAGGAGGCGTTATACCAGCGCGCGCCGTCGCTACCGGCAACACCTGCCAACAGATAGATAAAAAAGACCTCAAAGCAGCACAACAGCCCTGATACTGTTCCGGGCAAACAAAAGGCAGCGTCTATTAACGCCACGCTGGAAATATGCAGATAGCGGAATAACCTTGAGTTGCAATGACTAAAATGAACTATTGAGATTAATAGGTGCCAAGATGTGCTATAATTCAAAGCAAAGGCGTGATAGATTTACACAGGCAGCGGATACCGTGAAATACCGCAGCTATTTGAACGCTGCAAACCCACGCTGTTTCGTTTCACATTAATCACACTATTTTGAAACACTCACATTTTGACTCGATCGAGTGGATGATTTACTACCTCCCGAACATTCTACAACTCAATGAGTGTTCTCGTTTGTGTTTAACAGGAGTGGGTCTTTAAGAAAAGCAAACCGTAAACAATGTGGCACACGAGAGTAAAAAAAAAAAAAAGAAAGCCCGACACCTTTTTGTGGGAATGACACATTCCAGTGTGTGTGTCATATTTGTGGCTTCAGAAAAACAACACACGCATTCTGAGCGTTTTTTTTTTTTTTGCATTTCAGTGTAAGCGACAGTACAAAACAACCAGCAGCAGCAAACATTCAAAGACTGAAGGAGGGGAACGTCTGAAGCAGAAAGGGGCTTTAAAAAAAAAAAAAAAAAACCAACAAGGTAGAGAAAACTGTATCACAAGTGTGTCCTGCAGGTACTGTCTTTGGGTGTGCTCCAGTCAAGTCTGCACACGACAAAGAGAAGGAGAGAGGCAGGTACAAACATTCCTGAGCCTTAGCGCAATCACTCGGACAAGGTGTTATGACAGTGGCTGGGAAAATGAGAGGGGATTTCAAAGAGCGGCACGGGGAGTGGTGCTTTAATGTGACTAAATGAGGAACAAGCTGCAGACAACAGAGGATGAAAAGAAAACAGAGGGCTACTCAGAGTTTGAGGAGCGGCAACAAGGAAGGGGAAAAGAAAAGAAAAGAAGATGGAGCGAGGGCCTTAGAGAGGCTTTGGGGAGTGACAACGGCAAACAATGGCATAATGAATGGGTGAGGACGGGGGGGGCAATCGGGGAAGACGCATTAGTTCAGTGATTCCAACGATCCTCATTACTCCCCCTGTCTGAATGTGCCAGTGGTCGTGAAGTCATGGAAATGTAATGCTGCCACAACGAATGAAAGCTCATCACTGACGGGAATTTAATATGCTGTCGGGGAGCCGAGGCGAAGCCCTTCTTCACCACTCGCCTCCCGAATATCTACTGCTTTCTTCACCGTTTTGTCAACGGATTCTCTTGCCGCTATCACTGGCTGTACAGAGGCCCGAGCTTTCCTCACGTGTAGGTAAATGCCACAGACACACACTATCGTCCCCATGTCGTCCCCGACTCTTTTCTCCAGCTGGTGACCGAGGATTCCCCGACATTTACAGTCTCTGAACTACGTCTGGGGCGGTTCATAGTTGAAATAATCAACTAAAGTCTCCACAACAAGAAGCGCGACCAAGATGACAAGTTAGACCACATCAATGTTGTTAAGCGCCGGAAACTAGTTGTGTTCCAAAAGACTTGGGGAAAGCGTGTTGTGTGCTCTTGTTGATGCAATATGCTCATTTTGTGCTACACGGGTTGTGATAATCACTCTTAATACGCCTTTAATGAGCAATGAATATTTACACCGGCATCTAAACACCAATGCTCTTTTAAGAATCATGTTTGCACATGAGGTACCATTATTAATGCATCCCTACATTTCCCTGCTAGCCCGCATGGGGCTGTGGTGCTAAGTGGAAGCGCTGTAAGGATGACTTATTGGATCAGCGGACAGGCAG